CAGGGTGGCAAAAAAAACGCTGACACACTATACACAACCGGTTGATAAGTCGGTAGAATTTCAAATGATGCAAAATGGCTGATAGAACGGCTCAGAAACTACAGTTGTCTGTGTTTATTGTACTTTCTACACTTTATTTTTTCGCGTCTTTCTCTCCGAAATACGTCGCATATATTTATCTCGCCTGAGTGTGTAGAAAGTGCAACTGCAACGGGCAAATTCAGAGTCGTCAAGTGAGACATGGATAATACACATAGATGGTACAATCCATATAGAAACTCGCAAAAGTGATGCTAGCGACACGCGTCGCACAAAAGAAGCTCGGCAATGCGCGAAATTTAAATCTCTATTTCGATTTCTTGAAGATCTCGTACACTTAACATGTTTAACACTTTAATATGTTCACTGCCTATCACGCGCCAGCACATGATGGATTTATGTTCAGTTAAGGCTCCTGGCCTCTCGCATTGTCAATCTCTTTTTAATAACGTCAGAAGCGAGAAAATGCATGCTAAAAATTCTTGCGAAATACGTTAAAACAAAAATATATATCCATAAAGTAACATTTGCAATCGATTAAGCAAATTCCGTGATATATTCCGTAAGATATTCCGTGCAATTTCCTTTTGTTCTAACAATCAATAATTTGTCGTAAATTAACGTGACATACAATTCATCTTCTTAATCTATTTTTATTCAGATTAATTTATAATAAATTATTGATTGTTCTAGTTATATCAAAACTTATATATCTCTCTACCCTTATAGAAATATCATACTAAGAATCATTGATTAATTACTTATTTTCAGTATTAAAAATACAGTATTTAGTAATATTCTGTAATTCAAATACAGCTTTTAATACTCAAGTATTTCAATATTTAATGTTACAAATCCTACTTTATGATTGATTTCAATACTTAAATATTGATATGTAATACTTCGTCCATTGATAAAATACTTACGCAGAACATTATCAATATTTAAATACTAATATATAATACTTTGCTAAGTGATGAAATACTTATGCAAAGTACTGTTAAGATTAAAAGTATTAACCCAGACAACATACAATATTAGTAAGTTATTAGATAAATATTTATAAATATTTATTTTGAATTACTTTTTTAAAATATTATATATATATATATATATATATATATATATATATATATATATATATATATATATACATAAAGAGAGAGGAAAAATTATGAAAATCTATATTCAAAATATTATTAAAATATAGAAATATCTAAATAT